AGCAATATCACTACGTAATTTGTTTACAACGAACGACGATCTTTAACAATGTATATTGCGCGGTGATTCGATTAACATTCAACACATAAATCTTGTATATTTATATCGCCTGTCTAACGCGTTCTCTCTCTCTCTCTCTCTCTCTCTCTCTCTCTCTCTCTCTCTCTCTCTCGATGCGACTATCTAATTCTGATCCATTATTCATATAAAATTCATGCGAAATATTGCGCAAATGGAACGCGGTACATTAAACACTTAACATCCTGTAGAGAAAATTAGAGGATGCCGTTAGGGAATGAGTTTCAAAACTTGTAATAACATATTTAGAGAAAATGCATTTACAGATGAAAGAGCAGATGAATAATGCACAAGTGGCGCTTAATCTTTCCGACTTCAATAGTTAATTGACCGCTACTATGCAGGAAGTGTTTTTGTATGTATGTACATGTAAATATTTTATTCTAACGTAAAAATATTTCCAAATTAATAGACACACGAAGTTCCGATTTTTTTTTCTTCCCATATTTTTTAAAGCAAACGTGTGAAATTCAAAAACGAAACAAAAGAATTATTCAATATGTTCGCATTTGATAAGACTCACTCGTCGAATGAAAAATCATCTGTGTGCAATTTTTCCGGAAATGACAATAATTTATCCGAAACTTTCATATGGCACAGTTTCCTTTCTCGCTTCTTCGCGCGTGACGCGCAAAAGTTTCGCGAGGAGCGGTAGAGAGCGAGCGGTATGGCAGTGACTGATATTCGCGCTGGAACTAATGGCGCATGCAGAATGCGGATTCAGCATGACGCGGTCGATAGGTGGACGCAAAAGTAGGGACGGGCGAGAGGAAAGAGGGTAGGTAGTGTTTTGTTAACCGCGGTGGTTCGAAGGGTCACCTGCCAGTCTGCACGGGGCGTTGATTTTGACAAAGGGTTTAAATGCCTGCGGGAGAGGAAAAGAGAAAGAGAGAGAGAGAGAGAGAGAAAGAGAAAGAGAGAGGAGGTCGCCCAGGCATGTCTAATTTCCCCGGTGCGTCGGGGCAGGCCGACGATATCTATCAAACCAGGGATGCACCGTCGTCCCTCTTGACAAAGAGCGCTTAGCGTAGGAGTTGTTTTTCACGACCTGCCCCTTTTGAAGGGCCATGCGCTTTTTAAAGCCCTTTCCGCGCGGTCAAGCAGTGACGCAAGGTCATGTAAACAGCTTTTTTCTCTGAAGGTTGAAAATTATCTCTTGGAAAAATAAATTGCGCTTATCGGGTCGATCTGTTAATGATCTCGTTGAGTGGTAATTAACGATTATTGTTGTGATTATTATTGCGTGTATCGATTATTTTTGTGCTACAAATTGCGCGATAGAGAGATTAAATTGCTCTTTATGTTTCGACTACAGAGTTTGTTTTGTTTTTGTTCTTTCAAATTACATAACACTTTTATGTGGCTGCGCATTTTTGGTTTGACTCACTCATACTTCTGTTTCTGAGGACAATTTTTCACGGTCTTTGTGCGTCGCTCAGAATTTACATAGAAATAAGGCGCGTAGGTCTTACATAATGCAACGTGCAGCGCTGCGTGCAAAAACAAAAAAAATAATAATGACAATAATGACTAACGTTGCGTTTCTCACATATTGATAACACATATCGGAATATTTTTCTCGCTAGACATAAATAGTCCGATCTGTTCCGAGAATTTGTGCGCGCAAACATGTAACATCTATCTCGTTGCGCAGTTTTTTTTTCTTTTTTTTTTTTTTTTAAGATAATGATATGAATGAGCATGTTAATAACCTAGTTATCGCACGAGCGCGTCGAGAATTCAGATTAGGTCATTCGGTGTCAATCTCGAACATTTATCAAGCGCAAAGTGTCGATCTCTGTTGCGTAAGCGGCTATATTCTACGAGAAAAATAAAGACTCGTCATTCCGAGAGCGAGAAACACACAGTAAAATTGTTTTGAGTGCTTTTTGCTCTTCGCATACGAGTTTTTCCGACCTTTTTCAATGGCCCAATATCCCTGGGACTCTTGTGAAATCCTCTTACTTTCCTTGGAATTTTACCAACGTAGGAGATTATCCCACTTTCTACCCGTTCTGTCATCTTTGTTCCGCGAAAGTCTAGACCGTGAAATGTTTTTTGAAAAAACAACACACGATAATCTTTGCTGACTCGAGTCTGCTTTTAGGAATGTCATTCATTGAATCATAAGAAAATAAATATTTGAAATATCGGTCTGAAATATTTCTCGGAAAATATTTATCGATCACTTACAAATAAAACTTGGGAACAAAAACATTGCACAAATTGTTCACTCAATAGAATAATTATTATTCTAGTATTATTGTTTTGTGCAAATAATACACAATATTATTGAGTCAATAATATATTATGTATTATTTAAGAAAATATATATTTTAGTATAAATCATACATATAATAATAAAAAATTATAATAAAAAATTAATAAATTGTTGTTAGAATTTATTTATTTTTTTTTTTATTCTAATTTTATTTTTCGCAAAGTTTTGCACGTTGCTTTCCCGCGAATCGCATTAGCCGTCTTCTCGACAACAGACGTTTCTCGATCGAATATCAATAGTACACTCGATAATCGCATCTCAAGCCGAAAATGACACCGCACGCAACTACACGAACGCGAAACGAAGTACACGATCGCTGTTTAATTACGTGCAACGTAATGCACGCGACAGACAGAGGACGACAAACCGCAGTAGCTAGGAAACGGGATTCACAGCACGTCGAGACTCAGAATGTTGCGATGCTCCCTAGTATTATTCTGTGTGTGCGTGTACACACAGATATCATCTACACAGAGATGCAAGCTACACGCCGTATCGGATAAACACACCCCACGTATGCACCGCCGTTGCCCGTTGGAGTGGCTCTCCCCCTCCGGGTAATAACAGTAAATCCCGAGTAATAAATCCCTCTCCCGTGTGTCTTCCTTTCCCTCATCCCTTCGTCCTTCTCGCCGCCGACTCTTGTGTGTATATATGTACGTTCATGCTTATGCGTGATATCCTCATCCTCCTCCTCCGCCTCCTCTTCCTCTTCCTCCACCTGTCCATCCCTTTCTACCCGTTCGCAACCAGTTTCTCTGTCTCGCGCGCGCGCGTTGTACAATACACACACGTGTGCATTTCTATTCGCTCATCTCTCTCTCTCTCTTCGGAAGATGGATACGCACGTATGCACGTGCATGACGCGCATTGTTGTAAATTGCTCCCAATGCCACGACCGTGTTCCTACTGGGTTAATCGAAGACCCCGTTGAAATCTCCCTCCGGTTGCCCGCGGGTTGCCACAGACATGACCGGAAACCCGATTGAACATTACGGCGAATTGCCGCGAGGACGGGACCGCGCGACCGATCTTCCTTGTGTCGATATTCGTGCACGAGGCTCGTCTTTCAATCGACGTAAAGGGACGCGCCTTTACAACCCCGATTGATAACAATCAGCTACCGAGCTCAGCAACTTTCGAGAACGCTCGGAAGTTACGATAATGTGTATGTACGACTGCACGAATAGCGATTTTGTCCTAATAAATTAGGAAGCGATTTAATGTCGGGAGCCAATAACAATCCTTTAACTTACACTTCGCGGCTATTATGGCGGCTATTACTCGTGCTATCGAGTTTTGGACGGACGCCAATTGAACGAACGGTAATAGTATTACGTTGTTATCGTGATTTACCCCTCCGGGCGATGGAGTTTGTATGGTATAGCATTCTCTCGACTTTGCGAGGTAAGTATTCTCGCCAATTGCGAGGATGTTCTTGTGTATCAACGACACACAAGAACATCTTCATTTGAGTGTATCGTATCTCTTGTGAAAAAAAAAAAAAGGGGGATAAGCTTCGCTTGCAACATTCTTTTGTAATTTCACGTTCGAGTTCACGTTTCCGTTCGAGTGAAACTCGTGAAGGAGCTCAGGAACTGAACTCAGGAACGCCACTGTCATTGTCAATGTTTATTTATTTATTTTTTTATTTTATTTTATTTTTGTAACGATTCCGATTTTACAAAAACTCGAGAGCAGAAAAACTGGCGAAGAAGCTCGAGCCGGGAGAGAAAGAAACGCGCGCGACAGGTGATATGTTACATGTGCATGAGACGAATGTCACGGAGAGAGACACGGAGGAGGGGGGGGAAGGAAAGGGGGAGGAGGGTGCAGCGGTTGCCGGGTGGACTGCTTTATATAGCGTCCGTAGGGTTACCGAGTTATGCGAATCACTGACTGCGCACATCAAAGGGATTACCTCGGTAAATCAGCTCCATAATCTCCCTGAACGGTGAACAGCCGATGTACCGGACAGTTGTAGGGATCGATCGATCGCCCGCCACAATTACGCGGTCCGATCAAGGGTATTGAGATAACCTTCGAGCGCGCAGAGTTATCGAGTGCGCGATAATCCATCGTCGTGTATATGTATCGTCGATAATTTCAATAATTAGCGGCTCGTTCGTCGACGCTCTTTACGCGCAATCATCAGCTTCCGTCGCTTCGCTAATGTTTGTAATTAAATACGTACGTGCGCTCTGCGGCGCTTGAGTATTTCTGAACGAGCCGCGGGGATGAAAAAGGTGGAAGAAAATTATGAATGAAAAAGTTTCGAGAGAGTTGCTTGGGGGGTTTTAACACGGGGGGGTCGGGGAGGGGAGGAGTTTATTGCAAGGCTAAAAGGAAAAGTTTAAAATCTTGCGATCTTTTAAAGACTTGGAGCTTAAAGGCCGTTTCTCAAGTCAGTTGCGCCTCGAGTAGCTACAAAGTTGTACGCACAGTGCCGTAAAGTCGAACAAACGATTTACAATATATATATACTATAGTATAGCCATGCTCGCCAAAACTTTAATTCGAAAAACTTCAATTTTACATCCGGCTCTTACTATCTAGTATTATTGCTTCTCGTCTATTAAATTCGACGAAAAAAAAAACGTTCAATTAAAAACTTCTCCATCCTCATCTTTCTCTGTTTCAGAAAAGAACAACGCTCGTAACAACCGCCGGCGACGCGTGAGCGAGGGCGCTAGTCGCGAGAGGACCGAAAAAGATTCTGCGGAAGCTGCGCTATCCACGCGACAGCAGGAAGATCGGGAGAATAAGGGTCCGCCGTCGGGTAGAGTTGGAAATCGCGTTGCAGCACGACCGGTGCTGGAGGAAGCGAACAGCGCTTCGGGAAGTGCTTCGAAGTTACGGAGACGTAACGTCGCGGTAAGGAGCCCGACAACCGACCAGCAGGGTTCAGCACAACATCAGAGACCGGTGCGAAGAAGACCGAGGCCAGGAGGAGGAGGTCAAGAAGTAAAGCCGGACGCCGAAGAAGACCCTGTTGCCGAACGTTATCATCGTAGCGGCGCAAGAAACGATAAGGACGAACGTCTCGGCAGCAGATCGGAAGACGAGGAGGAAGAGGACGAGGATCGTCTCGAAGAGGAGAATGAGGAGAGTCATGAGCATTGCGATCAACTGACTAAGCGGCTGAGAACAAGCCCCGTCGGCAGAAAGCTCCGGTCCGAAAGTGGTAAGGGCAAAAACGCCGAGGAAGCTGCAGCGGATCGGACTGGGGAGGTGGTGGTGGAGGCAGAGGAGGAAGACGAGGACGAGGAGGACAACGACGACGCCGAGGAGGAGGCAGGGGTGGAAGAACACGACGGGGCTGAACGGGAGGTCGACAAACTCGAGGAGAACGAGGAGAGTCAATCTAGGGAACGGGATAGAGAACCCGAGCCGCCACCTCCGGACAAAGTCGATCCCGGGGGCGATCCTGCTTCCAAAGAACCAGGTAGCAAGACAACAGAATCGAGAAGGGACGCTCGCGCGATCGATCGGAACGCAGATAAGATCAGCGAGCACAAGGAACAGCAACGAGAACAGCAACAGCCACCGCAGTTACTCGTGAATGGATTGCACGTCGACTCGCCGCTGGTCAGCGACAAGACGAATGTCATCCGCGAAGATAGTCCATCGTTGTTGAAGTCGACTACTACTCGATCAAAGACAAAAGATTCGGCGGAGGAGGACGGAACGATCGCAACAACACCAGCGGCGGAAGACGAGCGCGACGAGAACGCCAGTGAAGAAGAAGTGGGCTCACAGCGATCACGCCGAACAGAGGTGACCACCACCGAGTTAGGCACGGAGGATAGCGTGGGTAGCGGCGTGAGGGCGGCCAGCGTCGAATCGGTCGTCGAGCTGCTGGAGTCGAGCAGTCAGGACTCAGGCTCCGTGCTGGAGAGACTGAGTCCGCTTAGTAGCAGCGGCGGCGGCGGCCCCGGCAGGCAGAACAGCCTGCTCCTGGAGCAGCAGCGGGAGCAGGAGCGCAGCCGGCACAACGAAAGTCCAATCATCCTTGCCGAGAGACTGAACAAGCCGCCACCGCCGATCGCCGGTCATCATCACCATCATCTGCAGCCGTACCATCAACAGCATCATCAACAGCAACATCAACAGCAACAGTTTCATCATCATCAACAGCATCATCAGCAGCGTTACTCTGCCGATAGTCCGGTGATCCATCATCATCATCAACAACAGCAACAGCAACAGCAGCAGCATCATCACCATCAGCTAGCGAGCAGTCAACATCATCACCATTCCGCCGCACGCTTGACCCCGTCGAGCCTCCTCGAGGTGCAACAGCAGTCTCACACATCGAGGGGTGGCGATGAGGCCGGCCTTATGGAAGTGGAGGCCGGGGCCGGTATACCTGGAACAGGCGTACTCGCCGGTGTGCCCACGGCAGTCGGCGGCATACGCACTTCCGGAGGCAGCAGCGGTGCTGCCGGCGTCGCCGGTACGTACGGCGATAGCGGTTCCGATAGCGGGGTGAGCTCGCTGAGGAGCACCGGTTCCGGCGACGAGAGAAGCGGCAGCAGAAGTTCGGCGCTTAGCGTCGAGGAAACGACGTCGTCCTCGACGTCGTCGGCAGTCGCGGCTGCTACGCCAGCCAGAGTCTGGCACGTGCAAAGCGTTCAACACACATCGCTACTGATGGCGCATCCGTCTCAGGGTGGGCCCAATGCTGGCGCTGGCGCCGCGGCCACGGCGCCACCGGTCGGATATCAGAGTCCCGCTCCACCGAGTCATCACCCTTCCGTCGCAACCGAGATGCTCTGGAAGTCGTCCAGGTATTATCCACCGATTCCGCAGACGCTTCTGGCTCCGCAGCCACCGAGTACAGAGGAACTACTCGAGAGGGATCGTCACGAGAGGCTGCTACGGTAAGTCTCTTTGTGATTCTTCACAATTGTTTTGTTCGTGAGTTTTTCTCGGGTACTTACAAATACAAAATTTACCCGAAACGTTACGATTTCTGATTTTGTTGAGAAAAAACAAAACATTTTTTTCCGACACTTTTTACTGTAACTCTTGTATGTTTTTTCTTATACCGAACTCTTCGAACAACCAAAAACAATTCGAGAATGCGGGCCATTAATATGCTCACGTTCGAAAGTATATTCGTGCCTCGATAAACGGCACCGTGAAAGGTTCTGACGTCGTATTACGTTTGCTATAATCAACCCGACTCGGATTGATGGCTGCAACGTGATACGCGACGGCGATAAAAAGTTTATTCGCCGCGCGACTACCTTTCCGCTCGACTACGCGCGCCAATAATGGTGCTGGCGCATGCACGAGCGATTTGAAATACGCATATAATACATTGAATACGATCGCTCGCGAAAGTATCGCGACTGCCGCAGCATTATGCCAATATAATCTTGTCTAAGCTTAATTATATTTATTTGCCATTTACGCGTCAGTCGTGTGACGTTCATCATGACTTTTAGTTTGCTCGATTAATTGCCTCGTTGTTAACCTCGACACAGAAATAATCCGAACGTGCCAATAACAACTTCCATTCGATATATTGAAAACGAGAATACGAGAACGAGATAGACGTCGCTTCGAGAACATTGAGAATTCTGTCTTCGTAATCTTTCACAAACTGTTTTCGGTTTTGTATTGAAATGAAATTAGTAATCCAATTCTCTGTTTTACAAGAGCCAGATATCCGTTCGCACATCATCCTCGCGATGAAAACGCGTTCAAGCCGTTTAAGACCCGGTATAGTTTCCCCGAGGCCGGGGAAGTGAATGTCCGACCGTTGAGGCAGCTGCATTCGTCGACGCTTCCTCGGTTCTAGACCGCCTCGGACGCCGGTCTCTTTGTTTGACTCTCGCGTGACTACTACGTCGAGCTCGGCTCATTCTCGTTTTTCGACACGCGGGCAGACGCGAAGAGAGAGAGAGAAAGAGAAAAGTGGACGAGAGAGACGTGCGTGTATCCGCGTGCTTGCGCGTGTATGTATATGCCTGCGTTTCCGGGCGCCAGCTGTGAGTCGCTCCTCCGACTTCCGGCGGATTATCGCGATAGAGAGAACGAGGTTGGTCGGGGAGTAATCGAGTCATCACTCGCGCGGCACGCCGACAACGAGGCGGTGACCCGAAACCGTCGCTCTTCGGCTCGTATGAATAAACCGGTGGAACACACTCGCGCGGCACCACCACCGACATCACCGCCGCGTTTGATCGGCACGTGTCGATGACCCTGCCAACCCGCGCGCGGGCGTCCTCCTCTCTTTCTCTCTCTCTCTCTCTCTCTTTCTCTTTCTCTGTGTCTCGCTTGACCTCGTCGAAGGCCGCCGCGGCCCGGCCGAAACTTTCGGTGTCATTTGGCGTTCTCTATTATGCGCCCCTAATCTCCATATAATGGATTATTCGTGCTCCCTCTTGGAATGGACGGGTAGTGATTATCGAAATTGCTGCGCACAGCCTTTCAATAGCGTAATAGCGAAATTTAATCGAATCGTTTCTCGTCGAGAGAAACGTTTTCGTTCGTTTTAGTGACTTGCGAGACATTTTCTTGTTTTTCACTTTGCTCTCTCAGAGACACAATCGTTAAATTCCTCTCGCAAACAGTTCCGTTGTTGTTTCCTGAATGATGAAACTTTAACGAATGCGCGAGAAGTTACTATCCGAAGATAGGAAAGTTTACGTGGTCTTTTTTGTTCCGTATAACTCAGTTCGGTAACTACGGAAACACTGTATAGTCCGGGTCGGCCATGACTCCACGTCTCTCTGCATACGACGCTCGTGTGTGTGCGTGTAGTTTTCTTTCGTTTTAGCGATCGCGTATCGATTGAGAAGCGCACTATGTGTATAAAAGTTCCCGTATTAAAGTACTGAAAGTTTGAAAGTAACTGAAACTAGCCACGCAAACTTTGCTTGCGAATAATTCACAGGTACGGGGCTGTTATCGCGACTGAATTATCTCTCTCTTTCTCTCTCTTTCTCTCTCTCTCTCTCTCTCTCTCTTTCTCTTTCTCTTTCTCCGTGCGAATCGGAAACTATAGCGATGTATCTTCGTCTTCTGTGCGAGCAGACAAAATCGATTTGGAGAGAAGGTTGTTTTTTTTTCCTCTTCTATAAATACAATCAAGTTTTTTCGACGCGATAAATTATTTCGCTTTCACTTTTATATATCGTCAAAGTCGTCTGTGTGGCAAATAGTGGATCAACTTTCTTTATACACGAGTGTGTACAACGCGTTATCGTGTCCTTCGGATTTCTTCACGACTGACTATAACGGGATATAACGGGAAAGCCGCGCGCGGTCTTTCGTTCGCTCTTAACGCGTCACCGGAGCCAATCTTCGTAACAAATCCAGCGACCTGTGACCCCACAGCGACGAGTTCAGCGAGCATCTGGGTAGAGATAATTAATAGTCCGTGAACCGGGAGCATGACTGAGATATTAAAGCTCCTCTGGAAAGAGCCCAGGCGGAAAAGGGCGTTGGAGGGTTGGCAGAGGCGACGTTACTACAGACGACAACGACGACAACGACGATGATGATGACCTCCTACATCGTCTGCCGCGAGCGCTTGTCTGCGTCGAGCGGTGGTCCACGAGTTGGACAATATATTAGATCAAAAGTTGGTGCCAAGTCTCTCTAAATATCGTTGCCCGTGTATTTTTGTGACGTTGAACGTCGTCGGCTACGTTACGAGGCGCTTTTTCGGATCGCGCCGTGATTTTATTTCGAGACCGCGTGAGATAGAGACACTTAACGAATTCTCTTCTAGACGCGCGTTTCGCGCGCTTCTTCTTAATAACTGTCATCTTGTTGTATGCTCGCGCGGACAGAGATTCGCGCACCAGTTAACCAGCGATTTATTTACAGTCGTGTAAAACACTCGAACGTGTTTCCCATAACGAAAAAATGTTTTATTTTTTATTTTTTTAAATTTTTTTTTATTTTTATTGCCGAGTGGAGTTTGTTGAGCAGCGGAGTGGAAAAAATACGCGTGTGTGCGCGCGCGGAGCTGTCAAAAATAAAAATTATTAAAAATAAAAACAAAAAAAAATTACATCGTCAATGTGTAATACTTGAGCTTTTGTTTATTTTACCGCGCTGCATTTTTGCTGTTTTTATATATTATATAAAATTCGCGACACGTGAGAAGAGACGGCGCGATCCGGCGCGTTTATTTTCCCGCGGGTATTAGACGGTCTCTAAATTGGAAGCAACAGTTTGTCGGTGGACGAGTTAATCGCCTTCGCATCCTCGAGATATTTTCAAGGCCGTGCGCGCGATAGCATCCCCGGTTGATTTTCTCCCTTTTGCTCTTCTCTCGCGGGCGAAACTTGCGAAGGGGGGAAAAAGGGCCTTCGCAAAAAGAAGGAAGATGCGCGATGAGAACGCCACCCTAATGACCATCGTGTAGCGACGAAGGTTAACCACCACGCTGGCCCGTTCTTTTGCGATCGATATCCCACGTTCTTGCGCGTCTTTATTTTCTCTCTCTCTCTCTCTCTCTCTCTCTCTTTCTCTCAATCTCCTTCTCTCTTCTGCGATCCCACCGGAGTCGGTAGCACTCGATCACGAGGTATTAAAGCCTGATTGATCGATGCACCTTTTTTCTGCTCAATCCTGGCCTCGACGATGAGTCACGTGAAACTCTGGAGGCGCGTTACCGAATACAAAGGAACGAAGGTTTCGGGATTAAACCGGCGCGGACGAAATTATTCCGAGAACGGAAATGTCGGACCTCGTATACGTGAGAAATTAGCCGAGACAAGAAAAAGTTACATAACAAAAAAAAAAAAAAAAAAAAAAAACGACGAAAAAGGATCGCGTTATTTTACATCGAAAGTATATAATCGTTCAATATCTCTCTAATAATTGTGTATCTCTCTCCGCCGAGGCAACAGATTTTTAATTCGAACGAGAAATTCACACGTTGCGGTAGAAATGTTACATACAATATCGGATCGTTAGCTAATGTCCGTTCATTAATCAGGAACGAAGTAGACGCTAACGAGTTATCAGGTTTCGCTTTGTGAAAGCTATTGGGGAATTAAAGAGTGAATTTACTCCGGGATATCGATAAAGGATACACTTCGTTACGGGGAAGTAATCGCTCGTTACGTGTAACGAACAGGCGAAATGGGAAATCCGATAAAGCGGAGATACGGATCGGCGGGCGCGATCGGTTATCCGCACGAGACGAACGACGACGTCGCGGAACGCGACCGCCGCCGCCTGATATTTGCCGATATCACGCGAGAGAGGATGGCGGGCGCGCGCACGGGGGGCTCGAAACTTCTTGGAACTTCCTGCAACGGGAAACGCCGCGAGGCGATTACACTTCCCGGAGACACGCGTTCCGATGCTTACCGCGCGCACGCGGCACGTGATTGCGGATAACAGTTGCGCCGTGATTGCTCCTCAGTAGACGCAAGAAGGATGAGGTGGAGGAGAAGGTCGCTCTCCGTAATGATTTTCGGTATATCACAGCATAACATATTAGCGCTGCGCGCTACTCGAGTTGCGAGAATACGAGTTGCGAGATAATCGACGCGTTAAAGTAATTCAAGTGTAATTGAGTTTTTTCTTACATAAAAGAAAAGCAAAATTGTTGGGTCGTTATGTTCAATCGTTTTTTTAAATAACTCGGGAACACAACAGAGACATTAAAGTGATATTATATAACACTAATTATGTCACGCGTTGATTTAAAACAGCAGTCATTAGCGTGTTTTTTTTTTGTTCGCGCTTTTAAAAAACTCTTTGAACTGTGCAATTTCTTTCCTTTTTCCCGTGAAGGCGATTCGCTCGGCCCCGCTGCGTTATTCTGCTCCAAATACGTCCAATTACGTGCGTGATCCTCTTCTCTCCGCCTCTCTGTCTCTCTCTCTCTCTCTTTCTTTCTCTCTCT